CCGTTTCCTATCTGGTTCTAAGCTTTCCTTATTGTTCTCTGTCTATCCCAATTTTTTGTTGTTTTGTTTTGTTGCGGTGGGGGGGCACTCCAGGGCGACCCCTGATGGTTTTTGCAGCAGACAGTGGGGATCCAAAGTTGGAGCTAAGTAAGGACCAGAGAAAGCTCCTCTTGCTAGTCCCGAAGGGAGTTTATTGTTCTTCTGTTTCTGTAGACCACTCAGGGCTCCTGGCTGTTGTTCCGACGCCATTGGACCCTGCGAAGAAGGATTTGGGCTTCTTCCATCCCATGTGGGAGATTTAAATGGGAGTGGATGACCTCAGAGTTCTCAGCCTCCGAAGGCACTCCAATTCCCTATGGTCTCCTTGGCAGTTGGGATGTAGTCCTTGGTGAGGATCCGGGAGTCCCTGAGGCCTGTTCTTAACTATTGCTCTGGACCAGCTTCACATTTTGGAAGCGCTACTTGTGTGCCAGGCTCTGTTTCAAGGGGTTCAACACGTCACGGTTGTCTCCACGGCAGCCCGGGGAGGTGTACGTGGTGATGCACTCAGTTACTTGGTCATGATGGTGCGTGACCAGGCAGGAGTTGCCACCTTTCTTCCTCACACGTGCACCTGCTCTGCTGACTGTCCAGTCTAATACAAATCCTTTGTAGTCACATGAGCCTGTGACAGGGATGGTGACATGGGTTAGCTGCTTGCAGAAGATGTGTAAGACTAGCTAAGGAAGTGGTTACCTCTGTCCAAAGTCAAATGAGAAAGGAAGAGTTCCCTCATTCTAAGTTACACGGTGACATTTTGTTCCAGAAAAAGAGGGAGCAGGGCAGAAGGGAAGGAAGAAAAGGAGGAGGTGCGTGGAGAAGCTCTGCTTTTGCTCTGCAGGCATTCACCAGTGGGGTTGTTTGCAGTCCTGGTGAGAAAACTCAGCAATGTGTGGTTAGGCTGTCACCTGGAGGTGGTGGCCGGTATTGCCCTACTTTCAGCTCTAAGACTTGATCTTGGAACTGAGTGGATCTGAAGCCAGGAGCTTCCTCTGGGTCTCTATGTAGGTGCAGGGTCACAAGGCTTTGGGCATCTTCTTCTGCTTTCTCAGACCGTAAGCAAGGAGTTGGATGGGAAGTGGAGCAGCTGGGACATAAACAAGGCTCCACGGGGATCCCAACTCTGTTGAGCTACTGTGTTGCCCCTATAGTTTTCTCTTAATGACTTCAGTCCTGCTTAAGTTTAGGTAGGTTCAATTTGGAGATGTTTTAACAATCGTAAACCCTTGAATATACAGAATGTGTGACAGGCTCAACAGAGTTGGGATCCCATAGGAGCCTTTTGTGTCCCGGCTGCTCCACGTCTAGAGCCACGAAGGAATGGTAGGAGCCGAGCATGCTCATGGGAGATGCAGGAGCACAGGCTTAGCTCCCCAGAAGGCGGGTTTATTTTGCCATGGTTTGCCTGATGGGTTATATTTAGCTTGGAGAGAATCTAGCTGGGAAGAGGGGTGACTCACTCCGCTCACGACTGCTTCACACTCTCCAGGGTGGCGAACGTACTGTCCTTCTCCCATAGGATGCAGAGCGCTCATGTCAGCCACATCCCTCCCTTCTGCCGAGTACCAGGAAACCGTCAGCTGCTCTTCTCCTTCGTGAGAATCCCCACAAGGAAAAGGCTGATTCTTACTTGTTCCACTTGTTGCACTGCTAAATGTGATTTTTCTCTGGTTGGTTCTAAATCTCGCCTAGTTCCTTAATTTTGTTTGTGATGGCAAGTTTACTTCAAGCTTCCTATTTAAGGTCCTGACTTCAGACCTCAGCCTTTTCGCAGACTCACATTATTTAGTTTCTAGTCTTCAGTAGGGTTTTGGTGCTGCCCACCTTACCAGTGGTCATTCCCTTTGCTTGGGACGCTCTTCTCTGTTCCGTCACCTTTCGTAAGTTTGCTGCACAGTCATGCAGGAAGTCATTGGTCCCTTCTGGGCTGAGGCTTTCTCCACTCCTCCCTTCACCTACTCACCTGCTCAGTGTCCAGACACGCTCCACTAGTGTAGAATCCTGCATGCTTTCATTGGTAAGAGGGCGTGCTAAGAAGAAATGGAAAAGCATACCTGAGCCTTAATTCACACGAGTTCTCATGTCTGTAACACACTCCTCAGGGACTTTCTGAATAATCGCAGATGTGTACTACAAGTACCACAGACAACTTTAGAATGTTTCCATCACCTCAAAAACAAATCCCATGTCCTTTCTCTATCCCTCCCACTCCCCCGCTGCTCCCTACCACTAAGCAACCACTAATCACTTCTGTCTCTGTGGTTGCCTGTTCTGGATATCTCACATACATGTGATCCTACAGGACACGATCTTGGGGGCCTGGCTTCTACTCAGCATTTATTGTCAGCTTTCCCCGGTGTTGTCACAGGGTCGGCACCTCGTTGTCCCCATGACCAAGTAATGCTCCCTTGTGTGAGTGTGTCACATACAGCCACTTCTGAGAAGCGGAAAGAACAGGTCAGACAAAAAGCACGTGGTCTTTAGTTCACTCCTGAGTGCCCACAATTGAAGGCCTGGCTTAGGCAAAACGTGGGAGCCTGGAGCTCCATCAGGTCTCCTGTGTCAGGAACTGTACTGCCTCCCACCAGGGAGCCAGAATCTAGAGTGGAGCTCTGGGATTAGAATTCAGGCCCTCCAATATGAGCTGTGGGTGTCCCAGGTGGTACCTTAAATGCTAGACCAAATGCCCACCCGCACCCTCACTCTCACCTTACCCATTTTTGTATATGTATATATATATATTTTTTTTTTAATAATTTACTAAGTATTTCTTCAATACCTGAGGTGGGATTTTTGAAATGCATACATTGCAGGGAAGATCGAGGTTTTTTTTAAAAGATTTATTTTATTATTTTTATTGGAAAGGCGGATATACAGAGAGGAGAGACAGAGAGGAAGATCTTCCGTCCGATGATTCACTCCCCAAGTGAGCGCAATGGCCGATCTGAAGCCAGGAGCTCTTTCGGGTTTCCCACGTGGGTGCAGGGTCCCAAAGCTTTGGGCCGTCCTCTGCTGCTTTCCCGGGCCACAAGCAGGGAGCTGGATGGGAAGCGGGGCTGCCGGGATTAGAACCGGCGCCCATATGGGATCCCGGGCGTGCAAGGCGAGGACCTTAACCACTTGCACCACCACGCTGGGCCCTATATATATATTTTTAAAGATTTATTTTATTTTTCATTGGAAAGGCAGGTATACATAGAGGAGAGACAGAGAGGAAGGTCCTCCGTCCGATGATTCACTCCCCAAGTGAGCCGATCCGATCGGCCGATGCTATGCCGATCCGAAGCCAGGAGCCTCCTCTGGGTCTCCCACGCGGGTGCAGTGTCACAAAGCTTTGGGCCGTCCTCGACTGCTTTCCCGGGGCCACAGGCAGGGAGCTGGAAGGGAAGCGGGGCCTCTGGGATCAGAACCGGTGCCCATATGGGATCCCGGGCGTGCAAGGTGAGGACCCCAACCACTCACTGCGCCACCACACCGGGCCCAACCTTACCCATTTTTAAATCGGGTACATTACTAGCATTGCTACATTACTAGCATCTCATTTGCAGCAGTGATTCAAGCCCCACCTGCTCTGCTTCTGATCCAGTTCCTGCTAATTGCTAAGGCATCTGGGAAGGTAGTAGAAGATGGCCCAAGTGCTTGGGCTCTGCAACTCCTGTGGGAGATCAGGATGGAGTTCTGGGCTCCTGGGTTTGGCCTGAACCAGTCCTAGCTATTGCAGCCATTTGAAGAGTGAAGCAGCTGATGGAAGATCTCTCTGACTCTTCTTTCCAAGTAAAATCAAAATCCTTTTTAAAAAATGTTTTCTGGGCCCGGTGCGGTGGCGCAAGTGGTTAAGTCCTCGCCTTGCACGCCCGGAATCCCATATGGGCGCCGGTTTTAATCCCGGCAGCCCCGCTTCCCATCCAGCTCCCTGCCTGTGGCCCGGGAAAGCAGTCCAGGACAGCCCAAAGCTTTGGGACCCTGCACCCACGTGGGAGACCCGGAAGAGTCTCCTAACTTCGGATCGGCATAGCATCGGCCGTTGCGCTAACTTGGGGAGTGAATCATCGGACAGAAGATCTTCCTCTCTGTCTCTCCTCTCTGTATATCCGCCTTTCAAAAAAATAATAATAATAATAATAAAAATAAATCTTTTTAAAAAAATGTTTTCTATTTATTTGTTGCTATCTACCTGAAAGGCAAAGCAAAAGAGGTAACTTCCATCCACTGGTCTGCTTCCCCTATGGCTGCAACAGCCAGAGCTGAGCTGATTCAAACCCAGGAGCCAGGAGCTTCATCTGGGTCTCCCCTGTGGATACAGGATCCCAAGGCTTTGGGCCATCCTCTGCTGCTTTCCCAGGCCACCATCCAGTGCCCATATGAAATCCCCGCACTACAAACAGCGAATTAGGCTGATATGCTGCTGCTGCAGTGTTTGGATGTGGTCTTCTAAGCTACAGCTTAACCCTCTTACTGCACCATATTGCCGCCCACCCTTGTACCTTCTTGCCAGTGTCCTTTAAAGTACAGGTTTTAACTTTGATGAAATCCAACTCACCTGCTTTTACTTTGGTAAGATTTGCTATGTGTAGTGATGTATGTTGCATATATTTTCATTTTCCAGATGTGAAGTTATTGACCATTTGTTTTCTAAACTGCCCCACTCCCTTTGTGAATCGCAAACCTGGCCAAGAATGTTTGTTGCAGATTACCTTTCCATGGCTGCTTCAGTCACTTTGCTTTCAGAACTTAACGACAAACTTGAAATCTCAGACAACAGTGAATGAGAGCTGAAAGGTGATGCTGTATGGGCTCTGTTGCTATTGTGATCAGGTTGCGTTTTGGAAGCAGTGAGATGAACGAGGCTTTCCATCCCGGTACCACTGAGTGTCCCGTGCAGGCGCAGTGAGTCTCAGGGTGACTGTGACCGCCAGAGGCCATGGCTTTAACATAAGTCATCTCTCTTCCCTTTCCCACAGGTGTGGCAGATCCCTGAGAATGGACTCACCCTTTCCCTGACTGAACCCGTGGTCATTTTAGAAGGGCACTCCAAGAGGGTTGGTATCGTGGCCTGGCATCCGACTGCTCGCAATGTGCTTCTTAGTGCAGGTAGGAGCCAAGTGGTCCTTCGTTGCTCCTTGCCTTCATTCTTTCCCTTTCTGTGTGTGAACCCCTCCACCCCCCGCCCCAGGGCCTCATGCTCATGTGCACTGGAGTTCTGCAGATCTTTAGGAAGGTGCAGTGACAGGTGCCTACATAAGTGACTTAGCGCAGAGATGGGGTCGTGTGTTTCCCATGTGGCTTGCCTCCTGCACACTCTGACCCTTTCCATGGGCTACAGCACTCGCAAGGGTGCCCTGACTGGACCTCAGCTTATGTAATCACTGCCCTGTTGGCGATGTTTCTGAGGGCTTACTGCTAGGCAGCACACTCAGGCACCTGGAGCCAAGGTCTCCATGTTCTCACTGCCACCACACTTGAGGGTGGCTAGGCTCATCTCACACGAGCTTTTTGCTTTGTCTGCTATCAGGGATTTTGTTTCCTTTTATTAAAGCACTGCCGAGGACACTCAGAGCTCTGTTGTCGGGGTGGGCCTGTTCAGTCTCTCTTGTGTATGCTCACAGCTGTTATGTCTGTCAAAATTTTACTGTCAGTTCTGCCCTGACAGTTGTCTTACATAAAAGCAGTACTGATGTTAGGAATAGAATTGTTGAAAGAAAAACAAAGTTGAAGTCCAGTTTCTAACTGAACTGATGATGCTTATTATTTATGGGGAGTTAAATAAGAAATGTAATGTCAGGTACCCATTGAAACTATGGACCATTTTTCTTTTCTCTCTCTTTTTTTTAAGATTTATTTATTTTTATTGGAAAGTCAGATTTACAGAGAAAGAGTGACAGAGAGAAAGATCTTCCATCCACTGGTTCACTTACCAAGTAGCCACAATAGCAGAGCTGAGCTGATCTGAAACCAGGAGCCTGGAGCTTCTTCCAGGTCTCTCACGTGGGTACAGGGTTCCAAGGCTTTGGGCCGTCCTCCACTGCTTTCCCAGGCCACAAGCAGGGAGCTGGATGGGAAGTGGAGCAACCAGGACACGAATCAGTGCTTATATGGGATCCTGGTGTGTGCAAGGCAAGGACTTTAGCCACTAGGCTACTGTGTTGGGTCCTGTTTTTTTTTGTTTGTTTGTTTGTTTGCTTGTTTTATTTTTTTCTTTTCATTTTATTTTTGATGATGTTTTACATAGTTGAGAACAACACATGCCTATGTGGACCACTAATCAGGGTGGGAAGGGTCAAAGACCAGGGGAAAGTGGGTGAGACCATTGTTTCCAAATGTTCTTTTGTATTTGGGGAAAGGGAGAAGTCAGTGGGTGCTAGGCCCTTCCCCGACATAGTCTCCCCTCTCTGTCTCAGCCTTTGTATGAGCTGGTAGAAGATGCGGCCCAGCCCACCCCACACCTTATTCTTGGGTGCATCTATGAGTGCTGTAGCCTGGGCCAGTCTGGCCTGTTCCCAGGCCCAGTGCACATGAGTGTCTGAGGGTTCCATGATCATGCCTAGCTCAGCCCTTCAGTACTCTCAGCTCTTAAGCAAACCAGTGGAAATTACAGTCAGTCAGGGGCGAGCCCACATATCCTCCCCACCCAGAATCTTCCCTAAGACCTGGTTCTCGTGCATAGTGGTTAGTGCCATGGCCCAGCCTAACATTGTCCATCCCCTGTTCTGACTCTCCCTTGCGGGTATTGTGGTCTAGTGCTGCTAGGTACGCCCCCAGCCCTTACTTTAGTGTGCACCAGTGAGTGGTGGTCAGCAGTGGTCAATGTTAATTATCCCAGCTCAGGTCTTCCATGTGGACAGGTGCATTAGTATGACCCAGAAAGGTCCTCTAGCTGCCCCTGTCCAAACCACTCAGCCTTAGCTCTCTTGCTTACCTGCAAGTACAATGGCCTTGTTGGTGGAAGTCCCTCAGAAATCATTCCTCACCTGCAACATATTCCCTTAGCATTCCTCCCCGATCACACACACTCATCCCCTTACCATCTTCCCTGAACAATCCACATTTTCTGTGCCCAGGAGCACATGGATTCCCCAGACCAGTCTTTGGAAACCCAGTGTTCCAGTGTGGTGGTGGGCTGGCCTGGAACTGTGCCCACCCCCTAGGGTCCCAAACTCTTGGCATGTATGCTGGCCTGGGACCTTACCCCTCCATCCACCCGACATCCAAACCCATTCAAAATTCCCCAAGCCCAGTCCACCAACACACCAGCTCAGCATGTTAATCTAGGGCTCTTCCATCCCTTCCTCTACCCTTCCAGGGACCAAACACATGGGGAAATCCCCAGGTTCTCTCCACATGCCTGGGCGTGGGCACCCAGGTTCCCAAACGCCCTCACCGGCGTCATTTCCTAGGTCCCCGCAAGCCTGAACCCCCAAAGTCCCCACGTGCGAGCTGGCTTTGCCAGAACAAAGGGCCACACTTCTTGTTTTCAGAGAGGTCCTGGAGCTTATGGGTGGGCTCCCTGAGAAGTGGTTTCTGAGTGAAGTTTAGGCTTTCCACTCGACCCTGTTTGGGCCTCTCTGGATCCATTCTCCTCCCCCTTTAAAGTTCTGCTGTGAACGAACAGGCTAGTTCTTATGTTTTCCTCTATTATTGTAATTTACCCTATTTTCATGTAATAATCTGTCATTCAAACTTTGAAAAGAAATGGGTTGTGTTCATTCTGATACTTGCTTTACTAGAAAAGGAAGCTTGAAATGAGTCAGGTTCACCAACCCAGTTAACTTGAAAACAGCAGCAGCATGGGATTCTAAAATGGTACAGTGTTGTGTGTGTTTGTTTGTCTGTCTCCTATGAATCCGAATTTCACAAGCTGTGTTCTTCCTTTTATGTGGTCATTTCTTTTATACCGATCTCTCCTCAGTTTGTTGACTCTTGGCAGGCAGGGCCTCTTACCATCAGCCCTTCCTTTTTCTGCATTTCTAGTCTTCCTGGCGGTGTCATCTTGCAGGTGTTTAACCTTTGGAGGGCTTGGTTGTGTTGATTCTAGGCTGTGATAATGCCATTATCATCTGGAACGTGGGGACTGGGGAAGCCCTCATCAACCTGGACGAGATGCACTCTGACATGATCTACAATGTGAGCTGGAACAGGAACGGCAGCCTCATCTGCACAGCCTCCAAAGACAAGAAAGTCCGAGTCATCGACCCCAGGAAACAGGAGATTGTTGCTGTGAGTGTGCATGCGGCCGTGGTGCTACATTGAGCCTATGCTTTCTCTGTGAGGCCAGGGGCCACAATGCCGCAAGCGTATGGGAGCTGAGAGCCAAGTGAGGCTTACACAGGCTTCTTGCTGACCCGGTCACGCCTTGCCATCTTTCATTGTATACCCAGTCTCACCTGGTGGCCCCTTTTCACAGGAAACAGTTTTCATGGTTCGCTAGAGTCCTTCCAGGTTTACAAGTCTGGATCAAGTGAGGCACACACATCCCAGGTCTCCAGGCTAAACAGTAAATGCTGTTTAGTGCTTAGCTCTAAGCACAGGCTCTCTTGAGCAGCTCACACTGGGCTCCAGCACCATGACTTACTCTGCCAGAAGGGTTGGGACTGCAGATGCTGTAAGAGCAGCTCACTCAGTTGCACTCAGAAGCCCATGCAGAGACTCAGCCAGGCTGACAGCCCCTCAAGTTGGTGCTTGCTAAGCACTGGAGACATTTGGCCTTGTGCAAAGTGCTTTCCCCTCCTGGAGTCTGCCAGCGCCACCACTCAAGCTCTCTTAGGAAATGCAGCAGAATAGGAAGGGGTTGGCCAGCCTGGACTTCTTTCTGTGTTGTGACTTGAGTAGAGAAGTGGCAGTGTGTATCCAGCCTCCAGATTATCACCCTCTGGAGAAGCAGGCATGTGGCAAGTCCTTTCATATGTCTTTGTCTTTTGTATGTGGACTTGGATTGGAAGCAAAATGAGGCTTTTGAGTTAAATCTGCACCTTCTGGCTTGCTGACTAGCTAAGGGAGGTGACCACTAAACTGCATAGTATCATTTGCCGAGGGTCAGCAGATTGGAGGTGTGGGCACTGACTGCATGTGCCCCCTGAAACCTCGGCATAGGGTGAGCTTGGATGCTGGGCATGTCTTTCCATCGTGTCTCACTTTCTGCAGTCGAAATGTGTACAATGTGCTTATTCGCCCTCCCTTCCAGGAGAAGGAGAAAGCACACGAAGGCGCAAGGCCCATGAGGGCCATCTTCCTGGCGGACGGCAACGTCTTCACCACCGGCTTCAGCCGCATGAGTGAGCGACAGCTGGCTCTCTGGAATCCGGTATGTTCCCCGCTCTCCCTTTTCCCATCTTCCCCATCCTCAGCCTTTTGCACTCACTTTCACTTGAGCATTCTCTCTGTTCTGAATGAGTCTTTGGGCTCTTAAGTAGATTATAGATTCTTAGTGTAGATCTCCAAACTCCAGCTTGTCTGAACTTGAATGTGATGCTGTCATCACCGAAGACATATAGTAATTGTGTTTTAAAAACACGATCTCTATCTCCCAGGGAAACCATTGGCCGCTTTATATATAAAAGAATGTCTAAAAAATGTAGTGTTTAACCTGAGTGCAAAATCCTATCTGATACATGTAGTATGATCCCAGTCCGTGTGTGTGTGTGTGTGTGTGTGTGTGTGTGTGTGTGTGTGTGTGTGTTGTAAGCCTACCGGCAGGGCGGCTAATTTCTGCCACCCACTGGCAGGATTACGGAACATGGGAGGATTTTAGAATTATGTCTTCTTTCGTAAATCATGTGCACTTATTTTACAATCCAAGGAAAGTGCCACATAAAAAGTCAGGAGACACAAATTAGAAGGGCTATGTCCTCTGTCACTACTCACGGTGCCATCTGTTCACTGGGGTGTCACATCCCAGTAGTGTTCCTACTGAGGTTCGCATATGTGGATACCTCATGCACATCATCCAAGCCTTCCTGATTCATGGCTCACTTTTTAAGTGAGGTAAGAAGGATATATAACACATGGACAAACACATATATATATTTATTTTTCCTTCCAGAAAAATATGCAGGAACCAATTGCGCTTCATGAAATGGATACCAGCAATGGGGTGTTGCTTCCTTTCTATGATCCTGACACGAGTATCATTTACTTATGTGGAAAGGTGAGTAGTGTAGTGCTGCTTGATTCAGGTCTGTTTACTCCTGTGAGAAGAAAAGTCTGCCCTGTAGGGAATGCATTGGGCGGTTTAACTTTTTCACTTGTCTGAACTATGTGTCTGTGTGTCTTAAGCTCGGATCACAACGGGTGGTGTTGGTATGTTTGAGGCCCTGAGGCTTGGCAGTTGGGCTGTTTGGTGCTGCTGATTGAGGCAGGGCCTGGACTAGAGTGTTGGGGAGTGCTGACAAGGGAACCTCACACAGACCCTTTCTCGGGGAGGGAGGCCTTTGCCGTGTTAGGGAGTGTTGCCTCCTGGTGGGTGACATCAAATGTTTATCTGTGTTGTGACCAGGATGCAGAAGCCTTCTCAGATAACCCTGGGTTAGCATATGTGTGCGTTACTTGCCATGGACATGAGCTTCTGGCTGCTCCCGTGTCTGGACTGAGCTTGAAGGCTGACGACCCAGCTGAGGTTTCAGAGAACACTAGCCAGGACAGGGTGACCCCATGCTGAATTTAAAACCCTTCCCCTTGCCTTGTGATCTCTGCCTAACCAAGCTCATGGCAGCTTCATTATTATTGGCTACTTTTTGTGGGTGGTAACCTCAAATTTCATTTTCTTTATAGGTCTGATTTTCTCCTCAGAACTTTACATATGGGGACTGATTGTGTATTCCCCAACCCTGTTAGCTGGGCCCTGGGTGGGCAATGTTGGCCAGGCCTTGCCTCACAGGCAGTTGTTAGGTTGATTACCTAGAAATGGAGGTCTGTGTGTTCCTTGAAAGCCACCAGGCAGATGTTAATAACTGAGCAGTTACCCAGATATTAACTCTAGATGGAAAATGAGAAATGACTAATAGATGCTTGGCTTCTTTTCCACTGCTTTGGGATATAAATCATGGAACAAACAAACTATGGGAAATGCTATTGGGGCATAATGCCAACGTAGTTTGGTGTGTCTACTTTCCTGTTGACGTGATAGGTATGCATGCATGCTACAGACAGCACGGCCTCCGTTGTTCAGGTTGGTAGAGCTGTGCCCAGGGCTCTGTACTAGACTCCCATGCTCCAGCCTTCAGAACTCCAGAAAAGTCCAATCCCTGTAACAAGATGGCTCCAGAACTGGAATCATGGAGATGAGATAGTGTTGCCTTCTGAAGTTGAAGGATGCCCTCTGAGACACCAGATCTCTTCCTTAGAAAACTCTCCCTGCTCTTCTTCCCATCCTGTCTGATGGAAATGACTTTGGCCCTGTGGGTGCAGCTCACCCTGCTGGTGAGGGTGGCACAAGATGTGCGTGGGCCGCCACTCTTTGCTGTTTAAAGTTGAGTGACAGTGCAGTCATCTGACAGAGAAGTTCACATTTTTGCCCTAATGCTGGCCAGATGCCCAGGCTTGGGGGAGTAAAATTAGCCTACATGGCAGGCAGAAGAGACCACTTACCGGGCATGTTAGTGCTCGGTAAATAGGGGGTCCTCCGCAGGGAAAAGCAGTCACACGCTTCAGGTAGGCTTTCTCATGAGCAAGAGCAGGTCAGCTACAAGTGTAAGGTCGCAGCTGTCGCTTGGTTTATAGAGCAGAGTGTTTGGATGGATGTTAAACACAATCCTGTGTCTGATGTTTTCTAGGGTGACAGCAGTATTCGCTATTTCGAGATCACGGATGAATCCCCATATGTCCACTACCTCAACACATTCAGCAGCAAGGAGCCTCAGAGAGGGATGGGTTACATGCCCAAGAGGGGACTTGATGTTAACAAATGTGAGATTGCCAGGTAAAGCATGGGTGTTGCACAGTGTTCTTGTTTGTTCATGCCACCCTTGGGTACCAGGACACCACAATGACTGTGTGCAGACCTCATTTTGCCCTCACAGCACAGAGGCATGGCTGGGGTGTATGGGCACACGCATTGTGAAGGCAGGCAGGGGCGAGCCTGTTCCCCAGGTGCCCTTTAGGGCAAAGAATCAGGTCCCATCCTCAGTTGGGGTCCCCACTTTACCTCAGCTAGAGAGGCCAAAAATCCCACAGTGGGGTGTTGGGTTGGCTCATTTTGGGAGCTTCAGATGCCTGACATAATTTCTGCCTGTACTACTCTGATTTTTAAATTTTTTTCTATACCACTAGTGAGTTTCTAGCAGACATTTTTCTTATCCTAGACAACAAAAGATACCCAGTGAGACTAGGTGACCACTGGCCATTCTCACATTGAGGTGTGGGTTAATCCATCACCTGCAGCCCCAGCATCTGATATTGGTGCTGGTTGGAGTCTTGGCTGCTCCACTTCTGATCCAGCTCCATGTGCTTCCCACATGCCATCTCAACTACTGAGCCAAATGCCTGCCCCAAGACAGGTGTATTTTAGTTGGGAGGAGGGATTGAAATCCACACATTGTTCTTGATATAACACATTGCTTTTTGAACTACCCTCCTATGTCAGGCGCTGTGCTAAATACAGTACCTAACTGACTTAACTGACTTTGTCCCTGATTATGGATGAGGGGCTTGAGGCTCAAGGACCTTTTTACCCTCCAGAGTTGCAGTTCTCACGGCCAGGCCAGGCCATCCCTGTGTCACCATTGCTTTTCCCCACCCTCCTCTTGCAGTTTTCATTGATTTTTTTTTTAAAACTGTGACACTTCCTGGTTCTGATGGCAAGTTTGACACATGCGATCTGCACTCAGGTTCTCCTCTTCCCCCCGGAGTGTCCTTCCTGACAGCTCTGCTCAGTTCTGCCCTTTCATCCCAGCTGTTGGGTCTGGCATAATACATGCTGTGCACTCTTTCAGCAGAAGCTTTAGAAACAACTCTTGATGAAAGATTTCATCCACTGGTTCATTTCTCAAATAGCTACAGCAGCCAGGTCTGGGTCAAGCTCAAGCCAGGAGCCTGGAGCTCCATCTAGGTCTCTTTCATTGGTGGCAGGATCCATTAACTGGGAGGTGGACCTGAAGCAGAGTGGCCAGGGTTCAAACCAGTTGGCAGCTCAACTTAGTTGGCCAAAGCACCAGCCCCTTAGAAGGAACTCTTGATTTCTTTCTGGGGAATAAAATTGGCTTTCCCTTATCAGGGTTGGCAGAAGAGAAGTGATTTCTGGTTCTCTTGTTTTGTCTTATTGTAGGGTATATGAGAAAATGCTGCCCTTTTTTAAGCCACAAATAATTTGTTTATCTCTCCCTGTTATAATTCAAGTTGCTTCACTTTCCCATTCTTTCCATAAGCTCCACAAGCCTCCCAGGAAGATTAGCTAGCACGGACACTGCCAGGAGGGTACACCCCAAAGCAGCCCTATCCTAATAAAAGCAAATTCATACACACAAAGTATTTTTTTAAAAACCAGGCTTTTACAGAGAGGTACAGAGAAAGAGAGAGATTCCATCTGCTGACCCACTTCTTAAATGGCCTCAGTAGCCAGAGCTGGTCCAGTTAAAAACCAAGTGCTCCCTCTGGGTCTCGCACATGAATGCAGAGGCAAAATATTTGAACCATATTCCGTAACTTTCCTGGACACTTTAGCAAGGAGCTGGCTCAGAAGTGGAGCATCTGGGACTCAAACCAGCATCCACTTGGGATACTGTTGCTCTATTTGAAAGATTTGCAGAGAAAGAGACAGAGATCTTCTGTCTGCTAGTCCATTCCCCCCAAACGGCAAGAGATGGCCTGGTCTGAAGTCAGGATCCTGGGACTTCTTCCACATCCCCTGTGTAGATTCAAGCTCCTGGCTTTGGATCAGCTCAGCTCCGACCACTGCAGCTTGGGGAGTGAACCAGCACATGAAAGATCTTTATCTTTCCTTCTTCTGTTAATCTGCCTCTCCAATAAAATAAATCTTAAAAAAAAAAATGGTGGGGGAGAGCTAAATGGGACCTGGAACAAACTGGGATTTGAACTGGTGCCCACAGGTGGTTCTGGCACTGCAGCAGAGATGTAAGCTGCTATACCATGGCACCAGCCCCTTCTCTTTTCCTTTTTAAAACTCAGAGTTATGCTTGTAAATGTTTGCTTCAAGCCTGCCAAAACCAGTGCCCAGGCTGTAGATGCAATCTAGTATGCAGTGCCTGTTCCCACCTGCCATGTGGTATGGTGACTTCATCCTTGTTGTGCTGTTGTGTTCCCCACAGTCGATCTGCCCCAAGAAAGGGGCAGTTCGTCACCATCGTTCCTTGATGTCTTATCCATGCTCACCTCATCCACCATTTCCAAGCATACTTCCTCGCAGCTGTGTGAACCAGGAACACTGGGGGCAGATCAGGTGGGGTGGCAGGAAAGAAGCCCTCAGCAGCCATGCAGTGTGCCAGAGCATACAGATTCCTTTCTGTGGTCTCCTGGTTAACTCAATGACCTTTGCCTTGTTTCTCCCTTGAAGATTCTTCAAACTCCATGAGAGAAAGTGCGAGCCCATTATCATGACTGTTCCCAGGAAGGTGAGTGCCCAGCTTTCTAACAGTCAGTGGTTTAAAAACAAAAATGTTCCAGAGCTGCTTCTCCCTCCTTACCAAAGGCTTTTCCCCCTGGTTGTCGCCCGCAGTCCGACCTTTTCCAGGATGACCTGTACCCCGACACGGCAGGGCCCGAAGCTGCGCTGGAGGCCGAGGAGTGGTTTGAGGGGAGGGACGCAGACCCACTGCTCATCTCTTTGAAAGACGGGTACATTCCAGGCAAGAACAGGGACCTCAAGGTGGTCAAGAAGAACATTCTGGATAGCAAGCCCAGCGCAAACAAGAAGTGCGACCTGATCAACGCCCCCAAGAAGACCACAGACCCTGCCAGTGTGGTAAGGGCTGTGGGAGCTGGGGGCTCTGCTGGGCTGGTTTGAGTCTTGCCTCTGGAAATGCCTTCATGGCCCAGGGCGTTGGCGGGCACTGTCCCAACTGTGGCCATGTGGAGGTTTTTCAGTAAACAGAGGCATGTGGCAAGCCCAGGAGCCTGTGACCTTGATGGCTTTGTGATCATGCCTGACCTTTCAGCTGCGTGTTTTATGATATCTTGGGCGGGTTGTGACCTCTAAGAGTGAGTAGGAATATTTCAGGGTTTTCTTAGCTGACTTTTCCCAACCTGGTTAACCCATTTCTGACATAGTTAGACATGAGCAACCAAGCATGTGGGGACACAGCCCCCCCCCCGAGGAGAGGGTCTGGAAAGGAGGAGCAGTCATGTGACAGAAGGGTCCTGGCCGTAGGTGGAGCAAACTGCCAAGGTGGCCTTGGCGCTGGCTAGCTCAGCCAATGGGTGGGAATCAAGCCGTCTACCCTGGTGGCTCCCTGTGGGCCCCAGGGCAGCTGCTGCTCCTGGAGAGCTGAGGGGAGGTGTCCAGTCCATGTGGAATAGATTCCAGGGGCAGGAAGAGGGGTGGAGAGGCAGAGCACCTCCAGGAGCTGGTGGCAGACAGAGGCCACCATTGTAGACTTGGTGTGAGGGTTCCAGAAGAATTGGGTCCTGTATGAAAGACAGGGGCCTAAGAAGTTTGAGGCCTGAGAGAGCTCTTGCCGGGCTGCAGCCTCTGCAAAGCATCACTGTATTTGGGGAGCCATGGGGGACAGGAGGAGGGGCCTGGAGGAGAACGGGTCACCCTGCATTCTCTGAGTCCAGGTCAGTGTGTGGGGCCTGGGCACACTGGAAGTGGGGGGTCCTGGGATCTGGGCAGATAGAGAGGCATTCTCTGTACCCCCAGGCCCAGAAGCTCGGTGCCTAAGGCTTGGCATGGGCAGGGAGAAAATTGCATTGTACATGCCACCGATCCTGCCCTGTGTTGGATGTACTATATCTTAGTTACCGCTCCCCTTTCTGTTTTCTTAGCAAAATGAAGCCAAGTTGGATGAGATTTTGAAAGAGATCAAATCTATAAAAGACACAATCTGCAATCAAGATGAGCGCATTTCCAAGCTGGAGCAGCAGATGGCCAAGATCGCAGCCTGAAGGTCCCACCCCCACCCCTCCGGAAATGGGAGCAAGGACTTAGCTTGGGAGCTGGTGGTTGGTGTGGCCCCAGGGAGGGTGACCCGGGCACTGCCGCTGGAGACATTCCGCTCAGACCTGGCAGCTGGTGTAGGCCACGTTCCACTCAGAATACGATTCGTCTCCCAAATTTGCAAAAAACAAAGGCTGAGCTTTTTATCAGAAAGCCTTTTCAATGTTTAAGTGTTATGTGACTTGTTGAACTTTTAAAAAGACAAAAGTGCTACTTTTAAAATCCCACATATTCCGAATTTTAAAAAAACAAGCCAATTCTGATTCAGTGTCGTGCCCAAGTACTTTTTTTTTTAAATTTTTACAAATAGGGACCAATGCCACATTGCTTTTTTATATTTCTTTCTTTCTTTTGTTTTTAATGTTGCCAAAACCAAAAGTAGCCTTTTTTTTTCCTTTGTATTTTGCTACTTTGCAGTATTTGTGTGTGGGTTTTTTTTTTTGTTTGTTTTCTTTACTTTAAAAGGGACAGCACTGTGTATGTTTATAAACTAAATGAAGATATTATTTTGTATAAATGTTCATCTGAAAGCATTGAGAGCGGTAGGCACTCAGTGCTGGCTCGTTTGCAGCACAGATCCAGTCATGCGAGTGACTGTGCACAAGGAAGACTGGGAAAGCAGTGTGGGTTTGTGGACCACCCCTCTCGCTCCCCTGAGTCTTCTGAGCAGAAAAAAAAAAAAAGGCTCACATCGTAGCTCCTTCCTTCCTTCCTTCCTTTCCTTCCTCTTTTCTAGAAACTAGGTGGCTGTGCCAGATGGAATTTTACTTCTTGGTTACCCTGTGCTTTGGATGATTATAATCTAACCCGAACTAGCATGTGTTTCTGCAGTTTTGTTCTACATGTAGGATCTGTCGCGTTCATCACTGGACGCCATGTTTCAGGTTCTGGTCGATACTTGAGAAGGGTGCCCGGGATGAGAACACAACGCGTGTGTTGCCTGCTGTCCAGTGTTCTTGCCGGTCTCGGCAGCTGGCCTGGTGCTGGAGTGCCGCGGTGGGGACTCAGAGCAGCATGTCGCCCTGGGGATCCCGTTGCCTCACATGATGCCTGCTGTCCCCATGCTGACCGCCCCCAAGCTCCTGCCTTCCCCTTTGCTCACACGCCATGACCTCTCTCAGGGCCCTCCGCAGCCATTCCTCCTGTCCTCCTTGTCTTTCAGTCCTAAACACATGGGGTCTTGGGTTGCTCTTGCGGATAGAGATCAAGGAGGTCCAGGAGTCAGCAGGTGCAAGAGTGCAGACTTCTGCTGAGACCATGGTGTGTGCCCACTACTCCTCTATGCCCAGTGCAAATGAACCACTTGGCCTCTGCAGGGTCCTCCCTGGCACCGAGGGGACCAAACACTGAACTTTGAACCCTGTGCTCATTCCTAGGCTTGCTCAGAACTCCCTACCCTGCCCCCCCTACCACCACCACCAATTTCCCTTTCTCAGAATGCATGCTTGCAAAGCAAGGTAGAAGGAGTGTGTGTGAGAAGGAGAGTGTCTGAGGTAGCACTCAGAACAAATGGTGTCCCAGGGCCCTGCACTGGTTTGGCTGGTTGGAAGGGTCCCCTAGGGAAACAGTAATGACCACGCCTCAGGCTGCACAACCCAGCTGCGGGTAACGCATCACCTTCCTAACCAGCTGTGGCCTGGGGTTGAAGGCATCCGAATATTAGGGGTGATTCTGTGTGTGTTCCTAGTCCTGAAGTGAGCAGTAAGAATGACGGTGACTTGGAAGTAAGCCCGCCTCTGTCGATGTCATGCACTAAGGGCCTTCGTTGTAGTCACTCAGCAGTGTTGGAAGGTCTGACACGAGCACCCCCCTCCAAGCCTAGTTGAAACACCAGGGGGTATGTGACTGGAGAAGAGGCCACAGAGGCCCTGAGAAGGTACCCTAATTGGGGCCGCAGGTGACTGAATGAATGGATGGAGGCCCCAGTGGCTCACTGCAGGTGTGCCCCTATCACGTTCTGTCTGGGTTTGTTTATTTGTTTGCGTATGACATCCTGGAGAGGGAGGACAGTGGATTACTCCTCAATCGGCTCTTATAGAGCGGCCATAGCAGTCTGTCAGAACACTTGCTTCCATTTTTCAAAGATAAAAATCATTGATTACAAATCTGTGTCTGTGTTTGCTTCGTACATCAGCTGTGTCTGAACAGCCCACCACACCTCTCCCACTCCTGCCCCTGTGCGCAGCACAGTGCCCGCAACTAGGCCTTGCCAGCCAGGTGACACTTCCCCTCTGGACGGTGAGAATGAGGGGAGTAGGGCAGGCTCTTGGCTGCAGAGAAGGGGAAATCAGCCCAGCAGGGGCTTGTGCTGTGTTCCAGATACACACATACACACCACCTGAAACCCCACAGACCCGGAACTGTGGGTTCCAACACACACACACACCACCTGAAACCCCACAGACCCGGAAGTGTGGTTCCCACCTCAGGCCTTTGCCAGCATGCAGATCAGGGGCAGAGTGCCTCGCCTTTGGGGGCCCTTCTGTTGTCCTGACAGATGGGTGACAGTTGCTTTGGGGTCAGGGGAGAGATGGCAGTGTGGGGCGGCATGCACAGCCTCATGCAGAGTCGCTGCTGCCGTGGAGCCCTCCGCCTCTTTAGAGGTGGCATTCATGTGGCTGGGCTGTGGGTGTTGTGCCAGCAGAAGGCTCTTGGGATCAGCTAGAGCGTACAGCCTCCTCCCAACTTCCCCTTTTGTCTTACGGCAAGGCCCCAGGACACGTTGGTGTTCCTGGTGCAGGATCTTCTGCTGTTTGCCTTTCTGAACGTTTCTAAAGATGATGAATCATGGGCACAAGGTTCCGCTGCCCGCGATACCACAAGTAGTTGCATCTGCATCCGTGAGAACAGTGGTGCCAGGTGCCTGGACGGCCTCGGGTTCCAGGAAGCAGAAGTTGGTCGCGGATTGTGGTCAGCAGGGAGGCGCATGGCGCTATGTTTATGGCAGGCAGGCTGCTTCTCTGCCTTGGGCTGCTTTGAGTCTTTGCCAGGGGACCTAACGGTCCTTCTGCTGCCCCCCGCCAGCCAGCCAGCCAGCCAGCCAGCCAGCCAGCCAGACATCGTCTAGGGAGAACTTGCTGTTCTGTTTAAAAGTTGGCTTCTCTTACTGTTCCGCATCTAGTAGTTGACTCTCAATGGTCTGTTAACTCTCAGTGGCCCTTTCTCTTGTTGCTGGCACATTTAAACATCCCCGAGTCGTCCCTGGTCCCCGACGTGAGTCGCCAGCAAGGTGGCCAACCAGGGCAGCGTCTTGTGTTCCTAACTGCCTTCCCTGTCACCCCTAGTGGGAGTTTGTGTGACAGGAAACACTGGGGGGAGGCCTGGCAGGGGTGTCAAGCCTTCCGTGTGTGTGTGTTTAAGAGTTTATTTATTTTTATTGGAAAGTCACATGCAGAGAGGAGGAGACAAAGGGAGAAAGATCTTCTGTGTGCTGATTCACTCCCCAAGTGGCTGTAACAGCCAGAGCTGAGCCGATCCAAAGCCAGGCGCATCTTCTGAGTCTCCCATGCAAGTGCAGGGTCCCAAGGCTTTGGGCTGTCCTCAGCTGCTTTCCCAGGCCACAAGCAGGGAGCTGGATGGGAAGCGGGGCCACCAGGATTAGAACCAGTGCCCATATGGGATCCTGGTGCATTCAAGGCTAGGACTTTAACCACTATGCTATCGTGCTGGGCCCAGGACAGAACTTTAAACCCCAAAGCAATGGGCTAAGTCACCTAGGACAAGCCTGACTACATAAACATTCAGTTGTGTTAAGACTAATATGGAGGCAAAGAGTAAATGAACACCATTAAAATGGGCCATAGAGGGGCCAGCATGGTGGCTCAACTAGCTAATCTTCCACCTACCAGTGCTGAACTCCCTTATGGACACCAATTCTTGTCTAGCTCCTCCACTTCCTTCCAGCTCCCTGCTTATGGCCTGGGAAAGCAGTCGAAAATGGCTCAAGTCCTTGGGATTCTCCATCCACACAGGAGACTTGGAACTAGCTGGCTTCCACCTGGCTCAGCTCCAGCCATTGCAGCCACTTGGGAAATGAACTAGCAGATGGAAGATCTTTCTCTTTTTGTTGATCTGCCTTTCAGGAAGGTCAAGGAACACAACTTCCCCCAGGTGCTGCGTGTGTCAGGGCATCCCATACAGATACAGCCCCTTTGCAGCCCGCAAGGCCAGGGGCGGGCCCAGGGGCCTGGGGGCCATAGTTGCTGAGGTGGTTTCCTGATCTCATCCTCCACTTCCCAGTGAGGGGACACTTGCTCTGACATGGAACAGTTAAAGGGCCTGGAGCTTTGTGGGCCCAGTGCTGAGAATGTCAGCAGGATGTCAGCCACAAAGGCTAAGCTCCGGGGACATGAGGTTGAGGTCTGTGAAGGGAGAAGTTGCCTTGAGGAAACAGGAAGTTGTTGCAGGTTTGTCTGTGCCAGGTTGCCATTTGGGTTTGTAGAAGGCAAATTGGAAAAAATGCCACGGGGTTATGACAAGCTCCTGGGCTTGCCGCTCTCTGTCCTCAGCCACAAGGTGTCTTCTGGAAGATGTGAGCGTCTTGCAGCACAGTGCCCCAGGAAGCCGCATCGTTTGGCAAGGTGGAGATTCTACCTGCTGGAGACCTCCCATTGCAGAGAGAACAGCCCATCATCCCAATAGCCTTGAACCTGATTTCTTAATCTCTAACCACCTGTTCCCTTTTTGCTTCCAGAGTAACCTACCTTTCTTTTTTATATTATTTTTATTTGAAAGGCAAATTTTACAGAGAGGTCAGTCTTCCATCTGCTGGTTCACTTCCCAAATGACCACAATTGCCAGAGTTGAGCTGAACTGAGCCAGGAGCTTCCTACAGGACTCCCATGTGGGTGCAAAGGACCAAGGGCTTGGGCCATCCTCCACTACTTTTCCTAGTCATTAGCAGGAAGCTGAATCAAAAGTGGAGAAACTAGGGCCTGGTGTGGTAGCCTAGTGGCTAAAGTCCTCACCTCGCATGTGCCAGGAACGCTGGTTCTAATCCCATCTGCTCCACTTCCCATCCAGCTCCCTGCCTGTGGCTTAGGAAAGCAGTCGAGGACAGCCCAAAGCCTTGGAACTCTGCATCCGCATGGGAAACCTGAAAAAAGCTCTTAGCTCCTGACTTCAGATTGGCACAGCCCCAGCCATTGTAGCCGCTTAGGGAGTGAACCAGTGATGAAAGATCTTTCTCTGTATCTCCTTCTCTATGTATATCTGCCTTTTCAATAAAAATAATAAATCTTTTTTAAAAAGTGGAGAAACTTGGACACAAACCAGCACCATGTGGTTATTAGTGGTGCCTGCTTCCTGGCAGCTCTCTGTTCCCACACCCGGATCAGCAGCAGCATGTGCTGGGTGGGGTTGCTTGGCATAGCCATGTCCCAGCTCCTTCTCACAGCTTGGCTGTGACCCACCTTGTGTGTGTTCCGGCCTCGTCAGCCAGAGATTCAGTATTAGAGACACAGAGTTCAAGTCCAGAGCAGCCAAGTTTCAGCCACATTTCTGACCTGGAACTTCAAACCACACCCCACCTGGAGTTGTCTGCCTCCATGACTCCATCCTGCACCACATCTTCAGAGGGCCTGGTTTCCTTAGCAGACCCCAGGATAGGTTGTGGGGTGCAGTTCTCTGTATGCAGATGGCCAGGCCCAGGCTAAGTGCTTGAGGGTAGCTCGTCAAAGCAGGAACTCCTTCATGCAAAATTGCTGAGTCAGGAGTATGCTGTCCCACATTTGCCCTCTGGTCTTCCAGGCCTGGGGTCACCCTCCTGTACCCAGGCCTTGGGAACTGAAGGCTATTCTGGGTCTTTCTTGGAGCAAATGGTTCCCTCCTGCCAGCTTCAGCCCAGAGCCCAGATTAGCAGCCAGAACCCAGGACTGAAGGCGAACTTTCAGAGGCTCTGTTCCCATTTGAGAAGGGGAATGGTGTCCTGGCTGCAGTGAGCCCCAAAGGTTCCACTTCCCTTTTAGGAAACACCTATTAATCACCATCAGCCTTGAGGGGAACAGCTTCCTGAAGCCAAGGGGAACCCTGACTGCACCTCTAGGCAGCTGGCGTGGATGTGCCTGATAGGGCTCAGGATCCACAGGGCACCTGCAAGCCTTTTCATTCAAGAGCAAGAGAGAGAGAGAGAGACATCTTTCCACTTACTGGTTTACTCCCCTAATACAACAGACAGAGCTGAGCCAAGCCGGAGACAAGAGCTCCATCCAGGCCTCCCGTGTGGGTGGCAGGGACTCAAGCACTTGTCTTCCCAAGCACGTTAGCAAGGAGCTGGAGTGGAAGCAGGAGAGCTAGAACTCAAACTCACACTCTGACATGAGCTGTGACCATCCCATGGGGCAGCCGACTGGGCCCCAGCATCCATTTCCAGTGGCAGATAATCCTGAAAGCCAAGCTTGCGTTGTTTCTTCACACCACAATCTGACCTCTGGCAAAAGCCTCCCGTGTTTCCCGACAGCATTCCTAGAAGCAGGCGCCTGTTCCCTTTGAACATTTGACTCGCAGGTGTCAGGTGCAGAGAGATGTGGTTTCAGAGTCACGCTTGTCCCACGAGACAACACAAACCGCAATCCATCAGCAGTATTTGTTACTCTTAAACCCAGCTGCGCACGTCTTGTCCGGAAACAGCTTACCTGCCTCTGAGCTCACAGCCCACCATTCAGCCTCTTACCCTGGAAAACCTCAGAAGATTGTAGAGCCTAACTCCTCATCTGGCTGGGGCTGGCACTCCACGTTCGCCTCACACACCCTGAACCTCAGCTTCTTCCTTTTGTAGATTTCATGAGCTGACAAACACCAAGCCTCTGTGCTGGGCCTGGTATAGACTGACAGCTCAGGAAGCGATAGGCTTCGCCTCAGGGCAGCATGAAATCAACCACACCCAGTCCGCCCACACCGACCAGTATAGCTGTGTCAGTCAAACTCCATCTGAAGACGTGGAGCCTAAACTAACATAGTTTTCATTGGTCATGAATGTTTCTCAGTTATTTTTAAAAGCATTTTTTAGGAGGCCCAGCATGGTAGCGTAGTGGCTAAAATCCTTGCCTTGCACATGCCAGGATCCCATATGGGCACTGGTTTGTGTCTTGGTGGCACTGCTTCCCATCCAGCTCCTGCTTGTGGCCTGGCAAAGCAGTCTGGATGGCCCAAAGTCTTGGGACCCTGCACCTATATGGGAGACCTGGAAGAAGCTCCTGGCTTCGGATCGGCTCAGCTCTGGCTGTTGTGGCCGCTTGGGGAGTGAACCACTGGATGGAAGATCTTTCTCTCTTTGTCTCCTCCTCTCTGTATATCTGGCTTTCTAATAATAATAAAAAAAAAATATGTAGGGACTAGTGCCATGGTATGTCATCCTCCACCTGTGACACCAGCATCCCACATAGGTGCAGATTCAAGTCCCAGCTGCCCCATTTCTGATCCAGCACCCTGCCTGGGAAAGCCATACAGGATTGCCCATGTGTTTGGATCCCTGCACTCGGGTGGGAGACCCAGAAGTTCCTGGCTGCCAGCTTTGGGACCAGCTCAGCTCTGGCTATACACACAAAAGCCAGGAGCTGGAAACTCCATCCTAGACTTCCACAGCGGTGTCAGGGACCCAGCAGCATTTGCCAGGATAGGATCAGTCACCTGAGGAAGCTACAGGTGGAAGAGGACAAGGACACTGCTTGGACAGACAGAGCACACTGAGGCCCGTGATGTGAGAAGTGAGACCCTTGGAGCCCTCAGCAAGGACAGGGCTGAGAAACTGAACAGATACGAGTGTAGGCTGGAGCTTGTTCTCAGGGGACAAGTCCAGCCTAGCACCTGCTTCTGTGTAGCATACATTCTAGGGGTGGTTTTCCATCGTTGGAGAACAGGCTATTGCCAGAGATCCTGGATAAGATCCCCACGTCTTACACCAGTGAGCCTGGCTTTAGCGCCTTGCTCCCTCTCCTGCCCCTGGCTTCCAGCCTCTGCAGACCCTGGGAGGCAACACCGATGGCTTAAGTGCTTGTATTCCTGCCGCCCTCGTGGGAGACCCAGGTTGTGTTCTCAGTTGCCAGCTTTGGCCAGATCGTGTTAGGTAGCTGTCTAACAACAGGGAAGAGGCAGAGAACAGGAGCCCAGAGCCACTTGAGCTCGGTTGCTACTGGGGCTGGCAGGATGGGCAGGCCTTGTGCTGTGCACACTGAGCCACCTGCTGACCCAGCAGGCTGCAGCTCACAGGCCCCGCACACAACAATGGAACTTTGTAAGAGGACCTGCGTCCCACTCGCAAGCCCCACCCATTGCAGGTCTGTGAGTTGTGGTTCTCATCCCTCTGCTCTTTCACCTCCAACCAAGACAACTGATGTTTCAAAATATTTTTTAAAATGTGGGCCTGGTGTGGTAACCTAGTGATTGAGGTCTTCATCTTGCATGCACCAGGATCCCCTATGGTTTGCCAGTTCATATCCTGGCTGCTCCATTTCCTTTCCAGCTCCCTGCTTGTAACCTGGGAGGGCAGTCGAGGATGGTGTGAACTCTTGGGACCCTGCAACCACATGGAAGACCTGGGGGAGGCTCCTGGCTCCTGGCTTCAGATTGACTCGACTCTGGCCACATTGCACTCACTTAGGGAGTGAATCAGTGGACAGAAGATCTTCCTCTTTGTCTCTCCTTCTCTCTGTCAATCTGACTTTCCAATAAAATAAGTAAATATCAATATATAGAGAGATATATTTGTGTATAGCCTATCCCCTCAAAATGTGAAAAGTCTGGAATATTAGCTAATGTAGTGTTTTGGGTTTTTTTTTGGGGGGGGGGTGCCTCTTGGATGTCACAGCTGTTTCCCCCCCAACAGTGACATCTTTTTTTTTTTAAAATGATTTTTTTAAATTGGAAAAGCAGGTATGCAGAGAGAAGGAGAGACAGAGGAAGATCTTCCGTCTGATGGTTCACTCCCCCAAGTGGCTGCAACGGCTGGAACTGAGCCAGTCCAAAGCCAGGAGTTTATTCCAGGTCTTCCATGTGGGTACAGGGTCCCAAGGCTTTGGGTCATCCTTGACTGCTTTGCCAGGACATGAACCGGCGTGCATATGGGATCTTGGCGCATGCAAGGTGAGGGCTTGAGCCACTAGCCAGCCCTGACATAATGTTTAACCTGTATGTGAAAATGTGTGAAACATTAGCTAATGAAATATAATTGTGCGTAACTTAGAGTAAGGAACAATATTAAATGATATTTCCAGACTTGTTTGTGAACTAGAACTGGCTCAGGAGATGTGAAAGATAAGAAGATAGCATTCATCCTCTGGCCCAGCATGGTAGCCTCGTGACTAAAGTCCCTGTCTTGCATGCGCCGGAATCCCATTTGGGCACCAATTCTAATCTCAGCGGCCCCACTTCACATCCAGCCTGGTTAAAGCAGCTGAGGACGACCTAAAGTCTTGGGACTCTGCACCTGTGTGGGAAATCCGGAAGAAGCTCCTGGCTTTGGATTGGCTCAGCTCCAGCCGTGGCAGCCACCTGGGGAGTGAATCAGCAGACGAAAGATCATCCTCTCTGTCTCCTCCTCTCTGTGTATATGACTCCAATAAAAGTAAATAAATCTTTAAAAATTTTTCTAATCCTTCCCATCCCCCGCTGTTAACCCCAGTAGTGTGTAGGAACAAGATGCAAGAGAAGCTGAAGTAGAGAGAGCCCTGTTAGAGATAAAAAGGGCTCAGCTGAGTAAGCAGAGTGTGCTCAATTGGCTGGTAGAAGAGACTGTCTCAAGTGGTGCAAGTCAGAGAGAGAGAGAGCCAGCCATCGCTCTCGCTCGAACACCACCCTTGCCTCTCTGACACTGCTTCCAAGGACCATAGGTAAGCAAGCATGATGGCCTCAAGAAGGACCCTCTGTCCTGAGACTCAGAAGTCATAGGACCTTCATGCGACTTTCCGATAGGGGCATCAAGGACTTCATGCATTTTTTTGTGTAAGAACAAAGCATGGAAAGGCAGATCCTGCACATCTCTTATTTGTGCTCCAAAATAATACAATTGCTTGTGACATCCACCAGTCCAGGTTTCCAGAACCAGCAGGTCCCCATCTCACTGCCCCTGCTTCCCTCCCTGCTCCCTCCCAGTGCTGGTCTGTGTTGTCACCCAAGGCTGTCACCAGCATGGGGGTGTGGCCCTGCTTGAGTAACCACATTCTCGCTTCCTTCTTCCACGCACAGCCGTTGGGGGTTGGCGGGGACACAGGCAGGGGCTGCCGCAGCTGTGCCCTTAAACTGGAGCCTTGTTGCCAACGCGGAGAAATCGCCTCTGGGCTCACGGGTGGCTGTCTGTCCCATGTCCTGCTGAACGCGGTAAGTGCTGCTTTGTCAGCTTCGGGGATTGGGCGGGGAACCCCAGAGGAAGTAGAAGGGTGTGGGGGGACCAGTGTCTGCCTTTACCGCCACCAGCAGGACCTGGGGCAGGACTTGGGAGACCCTCCTTGAGCTGGCAATCCCTGGACACTTCAGGCTCAAGGTCTGCCTGCTGCCTGTACCTTATATCTTGTTCTCAGTGAGATCCCTGTCATGGTTGGTGCAGCAGGCAGTTGCTGGGGTGGCTGTGTTTTCAGAGAAACAGAAACGGCCCCACCCCTTCCCTTCCACGGGTGGGAAGGGCAGGCCCACACCACGGAAGGAATTTGCTTATAGGGTCAGGACTGAGGTCAGGTCTGAAAGATTCCAGAAAATGAGAGGGGAGCAGGGTTTGTCTTGCACCCATGTAGAGAGAGCTCTACAAGTCATTTTCAAAGATAGAGAGCGGACACCTGTCCAGAGCAAACATTAGAATGGCGGGGCTGTGGTTAACAAGAGACAGTGATGCCATGGCCCAGGTACTTTTGTTGGTGTTGGTGTACGTCGTATAGTGGCAGAGGCTGGTGGTTCAGAAGTTCCCCTTACACATGCACGTGTGTGTGCACACACATATGCATACATGTGCTCCACCAACATCAGTGTTCCTGTGACCTGCAGTTTGCTCTTTTTCCTCTACCAGCCTCCATTTCCCATATCTGACTAAGAGCCCTGGGCAGGGGTCTGGATTCAAAGTAGGCAGCAGGGTGGGATCGGGAGGTGGCCCTGCCCTCCGCTTGGCCTGGCCAGCGGAGTAGGGGAAGGGAAACAGTTGAAACCAGGATAGCGGAAGAGGCTGCACTGCAAAACAGAACCCCTCCTGGAAACCTTAGCCACACCCAGAGTGGAGAGGTACTGACTACATCATGCCCAGCTTACAGATAAGAAAACGGGCCCAAGGAGGCAGGGCCGCAGTTGCCTGGGGTGCTTCCCTCCACCCCATACATGCCACCAGGCTCACTCAGTCCACTTTGCTGAACTAGAGCAGGCAGAAGCCATGGGGTGTGGCAGGTGGGAAGGAAGTAGAAGGCCATCATATGTGCGCCTGTCTGCCCATCTGTCCATCAGCATGAGGCTCCATTGTTAAACCCGACCCGAAAGAGGCCTCATCTTGTTCCTTGGTGCCAGGTACCCCACCTTCTCGGTCTCGGGCCAGCAAGGCAGGGTGTCCGCAGATGAAACCTAGTTTTTAGTGGGTTATGTATGTACAACACTGAGCTCACATAGGGCTCGCAGCCTTGAGAAGGGCAGGGGTCTGAAGCAGCTGCGTGGGCAGGGGCAGTGGGGTTCCAGAGGCGGTGGGGGAGATCTGTCATTCTCGTGCATCTCTGGAGGGGGAGGCATCCCAGAAAAAGCCATCCTGGGGACACTTTTATTTGGCCTGGCATGGAAGACACCTACTCTCCACAGCAGATTGCTTGGATGCCATATCTAGCTCTGTTCACACCAGCTCTCTGCCACGGTGTATCCTGGGAGACAACCATCATGGTCCAGGTACTTGGATGGAGGCCTGGGTGAGTCACAGCTTTTATCCAGCCCAGGACTCAGTCCTGACGATCGCAGGTGTCTGGGGAGTGAGCCTAGTGGGTAGGATTTCTAATCTTTAGAAAACAGCTAAGATTTGGGAAGCCCCAAACAAGAAGAGGTCTGAAGAGGCTCCTCGTTGGGAACCTCTATGAAGGAAGACTTGCAGGTGTCAGGCCACAACGATGAGTCTGGTGGTGGTGGCCAGGGCATGTGGAGCGCTGTCCACCCAACCTCACCATGCAGTCACACCTACTGCAGGTGTGAGCACCACCCACTCCCAACCGGGGATGTCAGGCCTGTTGGGGCTGGGTTTTCCTCCCTCCAACAGCTGTGTCTACTCAGCCTGGCACTGAGGAGTGGTCCGGAGCTTGGGGCCAAGGGCCAGGCATGTGGCCTCACCAGTGGGACAGTGGTGGCTCCTGTGCCCTTGAAATGTGGGTGCTGATGTGGGTACCCTAGGAAAAAGTCAGTGAGCAGAAGAGGGGGTCTCCACAAGCCATGCCTGGGGCAGTGAATCCTGGACAGGTCGTGCTGTGTGCCGATGGTGTGCTAAGCGTTCTGCCTGCGCCCTTCACCCCACCCCTCAACAGCCCATGGGAACAAGTATCCCTTGACAGTGAGGCCTGACTTAACTTCAACTTTGTGGGCTTTCAACTTCATGTTGGTACCAGAGCCGTCAGAAAATCCTCTAGTTCGCGTTTTCATCTTTACCCTGGGTGAGTGGCTTCATGATAAAGTGAACTTTGTGGTTGGTGATTTTTGCCCAACTCTAGGCTGGGGGACTTGATCCCAGCACATCTAAGGCAGGCCAGGCCAGGCCAGGCTGTACGGCAGATCAGATGTATCTCCTAGGCATTATGTATGATTGATTCATTGTAAAGGTAGAGAGATCCTCCACCCACCATCCTCTACTGCTTTCCCAGGCTATAAGGAGGGAGCTGGGTCAGAAGTAAAGCAGCCCTCAGCCTGGCGCGGTAGCCTAGTGGCTAAAGTCCTCACCTTGAACACACCAAGATCCCATGTGGGCGCCGGTTCTAATCCTGGCAGCTCCACTTCCCATCCAGCTCTCTGCTTGTGGCCTGGGAAAGCAGTCGAGGACGGCCCAAAGGCTTGGGACTCTACACCCGCCTGGGAGACCTAGAGGAAGTTCCTGGCTCCTGGCTTCGGATTGGCACAGCATCGGCCATTGCGGTCACTTGGGGCGTGAATGACCGGATGGAAGGCCTTCCTCTCTGTCTTTCCTCCTCTCTTTATATCTGACTTTGCAATTTAAAAATAAATAAATCTTTTTTTTTTAAAAAAAAAAAAAGAAGTAAAACAGCCAGGACTTGACCCGGTGGAGGATTAGACTGATACACCACCACACCAGCCTCATATTGAATGCACTTTTGACACATGATCTTTTCGGCTGCAATGGATTTATCAGCACATAGTCCCACAGTAAAACAAGGAACACCTGTGTTCCAGGGGATGAGCCCATGGATCAGAGAAGTGAGTAGAATTGTGCAAAGCCACCCAGCCATGAAGGTCAGAGCTGGAATGACCTGGATGGATGTGATACCCAGGCTGGGGCAAGGCCTGTCCGGTGCACCAGGACACAGGGCTGCAGTGGCAGCCAGCAGGACACCTGCCAACAGCCAGATTGGGTCTCGTGATCGCTCCTTCACTTGGCTGTGGCTGGATCAACGGGGCTTGGAAGAGAGGCCATTCTCTATGTGCGCAGTCAGAAGGAAGGCAGGGTCCCCACTAGGGGCTGCTTTGCCCAAGAAGCAGTTGCCAGGACTTCTATGGCAGACCTAGGACAGTGCCGTGAGTAGCAGAGGCATGGGCAGCAGGCTTGCCAGCTAGGAGGGCAGCTAAGAGGCTGAGTCATCCCATGTCGGAGTATCTGGGCTCAGTTCTCAGCCCCACTTCCAGCCTCCAGCACTTGCTCACCTACATCCCAGAAGGCCGCAGGCGATGCTGCTCCCTGAGGGAGGGGGACCTAGTCTGAGTTTTACAGCTCCTGGCTTCAGCCCAGAGCTGTTGCCTGCATCTGGGGAGTGACCTGGGGGCGGGGGGGGGGGGGGAAGGGCATTGTGTGCCTCTCTGCCTCTCATATGAATTAATTTTTTTGAATTGATTTTTTATTGGAAAGGCAGATTTATAGACAGAAAGATCTTCCATCTGCTGGTTCATTGTCCAAATGGCCATAACAGCCAGAGCTGAGGTGATGGTTCCAAAGCCAGGAACCAAGAACTTCCTCCGGGTCTCCCACACAGGCATAGGGACCCAAGGCTTTGGACCGTCCTCGACTGCTTTCCCAGACCACAAGCAGGGAAGTGGAACAGCTGAGACACAAACTGGTGTCCATAAGGGATAATGGCACTTGAAGGGGGAGGATTAACTAACGGAGCCATCACCTTGGACCTAAATCAATTAATAAACAACAACAACAACAGAAAGCAAAGGGGCCTTTGCTCAAGCAGTATGCTCAGTCCTCAGCTGTGGCTGCCTGGTCCTGAACTAGGCTGCTCGTTGCCTCCCCCTGGTGGTTGGGTATGGACTGAACAGCTCAGGAGTCCAGGGGCCCGGGTCTCCAAGGTGGGGCGTGTAGGACCCCCTAGCGGGCTGTTCCTCCGTGGGACCCCAGGATAGAAGCCCTGTGTGAGAGACAGGAAGTGGGCAGTGTCTGACCCTATAAGCCCCAGCCTGGAGCCCCATGGGATGTGGCAGGCCCCCCATCCTCCCTGTGGCCAGCCCCCCACCCTCCCTGTGGCCAGCCAGGATTTTCTTGCCCACTGGGGATGAGTGGAGGTGGGAGGTGTGGCTTGGGGACCTGCTGTTGTCATCTGTCCCATGGGAGTCAGGTGGATGAGCTTGTCTGCAGGGGGAGGCCTTAAACAGTCTCAGCACCTCAGTGGGGGAGGTGGGCTGAGAAGCTACGCTTAGTCTGGTGCGCGGGAAACGTTTTAAAACCCACACGTAGTCCTGACTCATGCATGGCCTTTTCACATCACTCATCTTCCGTCAGCTTTTCCAAAAATCCACCTACCTTTACTGCAGCAAATACTACTGAGCGGTTATCAGCCTGGCAGCTGTGTCTGCATCTTCCTACTGCCTCCCCTCGGAGCCCGGCTGGGGTCACCAGCTGCCCCCCCCCAAGCCCCCAGCTGGCCTTCCACGTATCTCTGGAAGGAAGGACTCTAAGCGCCAACCTCAGGAACAGCCAGGACAAGCTGGCAGGAGGGACCCCAGACGGGCCCAGGCCAGCAGATATGGGCTTTCTTGGGGTGCTCCCTCCCACCCTAATATCAGTGGCCAGAAGGGCTCTACTCTCAGGGTTGGAGTTCGCCTTCTCCTTGCCACCACCCCCAAGCCACAGCCCCCTCTGACTACAGCCTGAGAAAGGACCTCCCACAAAGCCCCCCTGACAAGTGTCAGGAGTAAAAGCACCCCCTTCACAGGTGAGGAAACTGAGGCTCAGAGAGGGCAAGGTGACCACTCAAGCTCACGCAGTGGCTAAGCAGCAGCCAACATGAGAGGCAGGCCCTGGCTCTCTCCCACCATCACTGGCCCTTGGGAATGAGTGGGGAAGGGTAACCAAGAGGGAGTTCCCACACCCCAAAAATGCAGCAGTGGTCCCACCTCTGGTCCTGACTCTTCAAGGTGCCACCCCACCCCCACCCCGGGAACTGACAGGTAAGAGCCTGGGGGCCTCCCCCTCTGCTGCCAGGAAGTGGCCAAGACCTCTGCCTTCCAGGAACCCAGAGCCACCAGCAGCGCGGCGGTGGGTTGGAGGCGAGTGATTTCATGATTAAGAGGCTGCTTATGGGGGGTTGCGGGGAGCTGCTTCTCAGAGTTTGCTGCCTTCAGGAGAGGGGGCCAGGGTGGGGCCATGGATAACGCACCTGCTAGCAGTCATCTCGGTGCATCCTTCAACAGCCTGACCCGCCCACCCCTTTTACAGATGGGAGAACAAGAGGCTCTGAATTGCAAGGATCCATCTCTCTGTCCCACAGCTCAGGAGGCCTCTCTGGGCCTGACCTCACAGTTGGGGCTTTGAGCCCTGGGCCCTGCATGCCTCGCCTTCCCGGTGCCTCTGTCAAGCCCCGCCCTCCCTCTCCCACGGAGCCCCACACCAGCCACAGATGCACCAGCTCTCTTCCCCACCCCTCCCCGCCCCAGCCTGTGTTCCATTTTGCACCCCTCCAAAGCCATCCTGAAAACTTGTTGGGTTCAGGTCTGATCTGGGCCATGCCCCAAGTAGCTGTGTGTCATAAGGCAAGTGACTTCCTGTCTCTGAGCCTCCGTCCACACCCTCTTGGTAAAGTGGGGTGATCCTGAAGGCCGTGTGTGTACAGATGCAGCAAAGTCCAGTTTAGGAAATGATTCTTAGATGTGTGTGGTCAGATTTGTACTTTTCTCTTGTGAACACAGATTTCAAAGTTCTGTGCAGCAAATCTCAACTCTTGTGATTGCCTTTTTCCAGGGAGTTTTTGGAGTAACTTTGTATGCAGATCTGTCTATGAATAACCTACAGGCCTCATTACTTTTAGGATTATATATATGTGTGTATATATATTACATATATTATATATTTTATATATATATGTATGTAAACAAAGGTTAAGAAGGACTGTGGTGGGCCCAGCACAATAGCCTAGCAGCAAAAGTCCTTGCCTTACACATCCAGGATCCCATATAGGCTTCCTCTTCTCTGTATATCTGACTTTCCAATAAAAATAAAGTACATTTTTTTAAGATTTTTTTTTTTTATTGCAAAGTCAGATATACAGAGAGGAGGAGAGACAGAGAGGAAGATCTTCCGTCTGATGATTCACTCCCCAAGCGGCTGCAACGGCTGGAGCTGAGCCAAACCCGAGCCAGGAACCAGGAATTTCCTCTGGGTCTGCCATACAGGTGCAGGGTCCCTTGGCTTTGGGCCGTCTTCAACTGCTTTCCTAGGCCAAAAGCAGGAGCTGGATGGGAAGCGGGGCCAGCAGGACGTGAACCAGTGCCCATATGGGATCGTGGTGCATTCAAGGCGAAGACTTTAGATGCTAGTCCACGCTGCTGGGCCCAATAAAGTACATGTTTAAAAAGGCGGGGGCGGGGCGTGGTGGGTGCTGCAGCCACATGGGAACACCCACTCCCCATATCCCACTGCCTGTTTCTGGTTCCGGTTCTTCTGCTTCCCAGCCAGTCTCTTGCCAGTGTCTGCCCTGAGAGGCAGCAGGTGAGGACACTCCGGTACCTGGGATCCCGTCTCCCATGGAGGAAGGATGGCGGGAGATGGGAAGAAGCCACAGTGCCCTCCCCAGCAGACAGTCCTTCCCCTGCCGCCACTATTCTGTCCAGTGAGGTGCTACCTCTTAATCCGGCGTCCTGTCTCCCCAGGTGCCATGCCGCTGCGCCTCCTCCTCTTGTTCACCCTGCTGGGGCCCAGCTGCAGCCTCCAGCTGTGGGACTACTGGGAGGATGGTGCCAAGGAAGTGTTGGGCCCTGGACTGGCCCGGGAACGGAGACAGGTGTACTCATACGAAGCAGGGGATTATGAGTACCCTGATGTGGGCACAGACCCCCCAGAAATACGGACAAACAGCATCATGGCCGCATCCTCACTCTTCAAGCTTCTCACCACGACGGCAATACCAGGAACCTCAGAATCAGCCACGGTGGAGGCCACCACAAGGGATTCTGCTGGCCTAGATGCAGGAGGGACAGCCAGGGAGAATCTGAGTACAGAACTGACCACGCAGAGGGTGTCTGTTACTGTGGGCCTGCTGCCCACACAGCTGGCCTCCACGACAGTCCCTGAGACCCAGGCTGTGTCCACTGAGGAACCTCTGTCCACGGAGCCAGCCACCATGGAGTCCGTGAGACAAATGGCCATGGAGGCAGAGACCACTGAACCAACAGCCACGGAAGTGGATACCATGGAGGTAACGACCACTCTCCCAGCAGCCACGGAGGTGGAGACCACAGAGGTGGAGACTACGAAGGCAGCAACCACTCCACCGACAGCCACGGAGGCCCCACCCATGGAATCCACAGTCGTAGAGGTTCTGTCCACAGAGCCAGAAGTCACCACAGACTCCCCAGCGGTGGAACTGACCACTCCCATCACCCACACGCACACCCTCACAGCAGCCAGCAGTGACTCGGGAATCATGGATATGAAGAGAAGGAAGGAGCCTCCCTCTGAGAGCCCTGGGAGCCCCAGCCCCTCGGGTACCCCCGACCACATCCCGGTGAGGCAGTGCCTGCTGGCCATCCTGATCCTGGCACTGGTGGCCACGGTGTTCCTCGTGTGCAGCGTGGTGCTGGCCATCCGCCTGACACGCAAGAACCACATGTACCCTGTGCGCGGCTACTCCCCCACCGAGATGGTCTGCATCTCTTCCCTGCTGCCAGAGGGCACCGACGGGGCCACGACCACGACCAACGGGCTTCTGCCCAAGGAGCTCGACCCGAAGGCAGAGGCTGCAGAGGAACGCAAAGAGGACACGCGCCCCCTGCACAGCTTCCTACCCTAGTTTCCTGCGCACCCGCTCTGGCTCCCTCTTCTCTCCAGGGCCTCCCGGGAGCCCTTGACCAGGGCAGCCTTAACCACCAGGTGCAGCTGCAGACTTTGCTCATAGACTGGGGAGACCCTCTCCCCCGCTCCAGTGGCTCCACATTTCCCATAACCACCCTCCCAGTCCTCACGGCTGCACCCCCATTTTCCCTGGGGCCCTGAATCTCAGCCCCACGTACCCAAGGATGACTGGGCTTTCCCCTGCCTCTGTCTTCTGGATGCCAGTGTCCCATGGGGGCAGGGCCACTGCAGAGCCAGGGTCCCCAGGGGCCACTTGTGCTGGCACAGCTGAGGTTTTTTCGGTTGTCTCTCCAGGGAACCCAGGATGAAGCCTCGCCTGGGAGGTCAAGGGTGGGTCACCGAGCCCCGGGGAGAACCTTCCTGGGGACCCTGCAGACAGGCAGTCTCCACCCGGGGACTTTCAGCACCTACCCGCCTTTAGGGGTCCCCTCAGGGTGGACTCAGTCCTGCCCACTGCCCAGCCAGGGGACCAGACACAACATGGGTCCTCAATAAAGGTGTGATGAACAAGTGACAGCTGTGTTCTTCAGGGTATCCAGGCTGCTGCCTCCTTCAGGAAGCCTCCCTGGGTTTCTCTATCCCCCCCACGTCGGGCAAGACATTGGTCCTGGGTCACTTGGTCTCAGCCTCAGCCCCTCAAATGAGCCCTCTGGTAAGTGAGCCCTGCATGGCCTTTCACAACAAATGTGTTTGAGTGTGTCTGAGAGTGGCTGGGGGAGGGGGTGGGAGGTAGGGCTGTCTCCCCTGGGCCCTCGCTGGAAGACTTCACTCAGCTCTTCTCAACGCAGACCTGGCCTGCAGAGTATGGGTCCCCTACTTCTCAATCAGTGCCGCCTTCCCCTGGCATCCTGCCCTGCCCTCCCCGTGGCACTCCCCGGGGCAACCCCTCTACTCTGATTGGCATCTCATATCTACGCCTGGCTAGGGAACTCTTTCTCAAAGGAACAGGCAGTAAATACAAGGACATATGAGGAAATTTGTGGAAAAACAGAATTAAAAGGTAAGTTTGTTTTAGTGTGAATGCATTTTTAAAAGACTTATTTATTTTTATCAGAAAGGTGGATTTACAGAGAGAAGGAAAGACAGAAAGATCTTCCATTTGCTGGTTCACTCCCTAAATGGTTGCAACAGCTAGAGCTGAACCGATCTGAAGCCAGGAGCCAGGAGCTTCTTCCAGGTTGTCCACATAATTGCAGGGTCCCAAACACCTGGGCCACTCTCCACTGCTTTTCCAGGCCACAGGCAGGGAGCTAGATGAGCTAGATGGAAAGTGGAGCAGCCAAGACAAGAACCAGCACCCATATGGAATGCTGGTGCTTGCAAGTTGAAGATTTGACCAACAAAACTCTTGATGTTCCTTTTGGGTATGAAGGACTCACTGCCTCCCCAGGTACCATCAAGTAGTAAAAGCTAAAGTGGGGAAAGGCAGCATGAACATTTCTCCGGAAGGTTTCTGGGGCTCCAGGACACTGCTTGACCGCCAAGGGCTAGGATGTGGGTGTTAATGCAGGGTTGCTGAGGCGGTGCTGAAAGTAGCCACCAGGAGGCGCCCGCCACCAGCTCTTAGATCCTTCTGCTGAGTTTTTATGAATGGAGGAGAAAGGCCATGCAGGAGCATCTATGGATGCAATGCTGGCTCTGGGTTACCAGCCGGCTCCCTGAATGGGACCAACAGCCCTGATCAGCTTCTTCGAGGTGAACCCTGCCATGGGTATCTCTGAATGACACCCCTTTTCAACCGTGCTGCTGTGAATGATTCAATGCCTGCCAACAATCTCCGGGGTGCAGATGGGCACAAATACCCAAAGCCTTGGCTTTGAGTGTCACACTGCAAGAAGGCTGGTTCACACAACGAGAGTTTAGCCTGGACACTACTGCCTCCCACGTGGCAGTACCCTGATTTCACTCCTGGCTCTGGCTTCTGCCTGAAGCTCCCTGCCAATATGCACCCCAGTAGGCAGTGAGGGTGGCCCCACTACCCACATGCGAGACCCGGGCTGAGTTTTCAGCTGCTTGTCTCGGTTTGACCCTAGCCCTGGCAGTTGAGGGCATCTGGGAGTGAACTGGCTGAAGCAAGATCTTCAGCAAGTAAGTAAATGAGCTGGCCTTGCACACTTCTGCGAAGGTGACCCCTTGTGGCCCTGGGGTGCGGGTGGAGGGGCGGTGACTAGAGTCCATGGTGTTATACCCTTGGAATCACAGCGGGCTTCTGGGGGAATCCTCAACCCTCCCCGGGGACCTGCCCTGGTGCCCAGAAGTGGCGACCATAGGAAGGCGGATGGCACAGGGCCAGCCCCTCCTTGCAGAAAGCAGAACGGAACACAGCAGGGCAGGGGGCTAGAGCGTAGGGGCCAAGTGGCTGCCACTAACTGAACACTTACTGCATGTATGATGGCGGAGCCTCATTTAGGCATCACGACAACCCTGGAACACAGGAAGGTGACCATTGGGGAAACCGAGGCTGCTGTTGGGCCACCAGGCCCGCAGGGCAGGGGAGGGAAGGGTAGACAGGAAGAGGAAGTTGGTGGTGGTGGCTAAGTGTGCTCTAAGTCTGTTGTCTCTCTCTCATGCGCCGGGGTGTGGAGCTCTGTTGATGGTTCATCCAGCAGCCGATGGCAGGGGCTCCCCACGTTCCTCCACCCCCACATCTGCCCCACTCCGGTGAGCCACGGTGGTGGCAGACCCTCGAGTGGGACAGCCCTGGCACACAAGGAAGTTCAGATCCATGGGGATGGGGGAGACCCTGACTGCAGCTGGGCATGTACCTACCTGCAGGGCAGAACCTGGAGCCCTGAACAGAGGCAACTGTGCCTGGTGTAAGTCAGGAGAGCCCCGGCTGGGACTCCATGAGTCCTTGGCTCGGGGTAGTGGTGAGGTAGGGGAGGAAGAAGGTTCAGGCACTGGGAGCAGCGAGTGGCACAGGCGCAGGTGCTGGGGTGTGGGTGGCTGATGGACGGGGCCAGGCAGCTGGGCAGAACCTGCAGGGCTCCAGGGAGGAGGGGAAGACAGGGTGAGGATGATGGGGTTAGGAGAGGTCTGGGTCAAAGTGGGGTTGCCCAGCAGGCGTGGGACTGAAGGTCCATTTGGGGAAAGGAAGGGAGGAGCTGGAACTGGGACAGGAGCAAGGTTGAAGTGACAATGACATCCCCAGCGAGCACTGGCTCCAGGCCTGGCTGTTCCACTTTCCAGCCTGCTCTCTGCTGGAGAAGGGAGAGAGGTCTTCCATCTGTTGGTTTGCTTTCCAAATGGCCGCAATAGCCAGAGCTAGGCTGCTCTGAAGCCAGGAGCCAGGAACTCCACCTGGGTCTCCCACATGGGTGCCACGGACCCAAGCACTTGCGCAGTACTCTGCTGTCTTCCCAAGCCTGTTAGCAAAGGAGCTGGATCGACACTCAGCAGTCAGGACTTGAAGCAGCACTCCTATGGGATACTGGCTGTGTTCCTGTGCTGGCCCTCCCCCCAAATAAACTTCTCACTTTCATCGTTCTATTTAGTAGCACATATGTTAGTGATAACATATTTGTGGGCTTAACTCACATAACAGAATCAAAAGACAGGGACTGAGCTAGCTTTGTAGCACAGTAAATGAAGCTGTCCCCTGCAATGCAGGCATCCCATCTTGAACCTGGGTTCAAGTCCTCGGCTACACCCCTGTTTCCAGCTGCCTGGAGATGGCAGATGACAGCTCAGTTGCTCGAATCTTGGCTTTAGCAAGCTCAGTTCCTCATTTGTGAAATGGGGAAGGGGGGACTGGGGAGCAGGGCTCTTTACATCCGGATGACCCTGTGTACGGTAAGTACCCTTCACCCTTTAGTGCTCACCCTGGGAGAGTCATGAGCTTCAGGGAAGGTGTGGACTGCCGAGGGGCACTGCGGAAATCCCAGCTTCCAGCAACCCTATCCCCTGTGGTTGGGGGAGCGAGGTCCCACCCTGTGGAACTCTCCTAAAATTAGCTCACAGATTCCTGGCTGCCTGGCTGGGGCTTGCAACTGACAATTCAAACCAGATGTGTGCAGCTGCTGGGCCCAACCCCCACCAGTGCCTTCGAATATCGGGCTCAGCCTGCGGAAGGTCAGGCTACCACATGTTCACTTGTGCCCCTGGGATGGGGCCACAGCCCCCTGATGAGACCTGCCTAGCTGCCACCAGCTGGGGTGCGGACGGTGCTGGCCCTTCTTGTCCGATTGCAGGACCTACTTCGTCCCAGGTTCCTATTTGCTGCTGCTTTAATGGGGATCTCCAGGTCGTAGTTACTGCCGCTGGGATATCATCAGCATGTTGATTTCAGCACCACAGGCCAAGGCTCACAAAAGCCCTGGGGAGTGGCTGTGGTGAATGTGCCCATATTACAGGTGAGAAAACTGAGGGATGGTTGAGTAACTCAGCCCAGGACCACGCAGCTTGGACTCCAAGGGCCCGGAGGCCAGGCAGACTTGGCTTCCTCCCACCCTGGGTAGTTTTCCCTCCTGTGTCTCACCCCCCGCCACCCTGCTGGCTTATTCCTACCTGGGATTGGGGTACTCAGTGTTGTGGAATACACTTGCTAGGAGGCCGCCCTAACTTACTACCGCTGCACAAGGAGGCAGCACAGTAAAGCTTCCAGCCCTAGAGTTGGTCTGGTACAAAGGGCCAACCTGTAACACTAGCATCCTATGTGGGTGCCAGTTCAAGTCCTGGTTGCTCCACTTCAAATCCACCCTGCAGAGACCACCTGGCGCCCCACTAGCTGGTCACTCCAACCACACCCCCCCAACTCTCTCCAGTCCAGCCTCAGCAGCCACTTCCCCTCTTAAAAGACCTGCTCACCCCACTCCCACCCACCCTGGAGAGAGACAGAGGGTCACCTACATGTTGGGGTGACCAAGGGCCCCTGAAGCTCAGCTCCTAGCACCACCAACCCCCCCCCCCACCTACCCCCAGGTCTTTCCCAAAGCCCCATCCTGATTCAGTGGCCACCAGGGTCTCATTTCCAACATCAAAGGCGGCTGAGAAGAACCCTCTTCACTCCGGTCACTGCCAGGGAACAGGGCAGGCTGCTGGGAAGGGTGTGGCCTGGGGCACCACCCCAGGAGTGTTTGCATTCACACTGGCCGCCATGGCCTCCATGTGCAGCTCGTAAAGCTGCTGCCTGTGGGCCAGGAATGTAAATGTTTATAGGGACGGCATAGCTGGCCTGGCCACAGGAAGTGCCAAGACCCCAGCCGACTGCTGGAGACTCACAAATCCTAAAAATGTGCAAGCCTCAGGCCTTGACGCATTTCCTGTCTGCCCCCGCAGCCACCCAGGTGTGGGCCTGCTCTCAGAACCTCCTCAACCAACTGCTCTTTTTTTTTTTTTTTTTATTGGAAAATCAGATATACCGAGAGGAGGAGAGACAGAGAGGAAGATCTTCCGTCTGATGATTCACTCCCTAAGTAACTGAGACGGCCGGTGCTGCACCAATTCGAAGCCAGGATCCAGGAATTTCTTCCAGGTCTCCCACGCGGGTGCAGGGTGCCAAGGCTTTGGGCTGTCCTCCACTGCTTTCCCAGGCCACAAGCAGGGAGCTGGATGGGAAGTGGAGCTTCCGGGATTAGAACCGGTGCCAATGTGGGATCTTAGTGTGTTCAAGGCAAGGACTTTAGCCGCTAGGCCACTGTGCCGGACCCCCAA